AGTGCGGGGGGGCGGGGCGGGGCGACCTCACCCAGGCGCCGCCCCCGGCCCCGCCCCCACCAGGCCCCGCCCCTCTGAGGCCCCACCCCGCCAGCTGGGAGCGGGGAGCTAAGTCGCTCCGCGTCTCTGTGCAGGTCGCTCAGTCCTCTGGCCTTTCTGCCATACCCGGCACACTTCGTCCTCAATTAGCACTCACCCCAAACCTTACGGTGGGCCCCGTTTTACAGAGGAGGATTCTGAGGTAGGGGCGAGTGTAGAAGCGCCCCCATACACACGCCGAGTCCGGGGAGGCGCCAGCGGGGGTTCCCCAGCTCCGCACGCCGACGCCCACGCCCGGGACTCCCCACTGGCCAGCTGGCCCGCCTAGCCTGGCTCGCTCCTTCTCTTCCTGTTGGCTGGAGTGTGTACGCGGCCGGGCTCGGTGCCCGCCGCCAGGCCTGCTGGTCCCCGCCCAGGGTTGGAGGCTCTCGCAGCGGGCTGGACAGGGCGGTTCTGAAGCTGCCTCTGCCCTGATCTCCCGGTCTTGACTCTCTGGCCCCCGCCTTCAAGAGCTCCCTATGTCCTCTGGCAGGCGCCTCGACTTTCTCTCCAGAGGTGGAATAGGTTGTCAGCGATAACTCATTCATTCATCCATCCATTCATTCATTCAACGAGTGTCCTCTGCTCCCAAAGCCTGGGGACCAGGCAGGGTCCAGGAAATCGGTTCCCCTCCTTCCTAGCCTAAGCTCAGAAAGAAACGCCCCATACTCGTCCTAGAACATGTGACTTCCCACAAAGCAAGAAGGAAGGTTCTAGGTACCAGGCCTCTAGCAGGACCACCTAGAGGGGATAGGAGGGGTGTGGGCAGCTCTTCCCAGCTGAGGCCCTAGGGATGAATGTAGGAAAATTCCTGAGGTGGCCTGAGTCGAGCACGGGGACAGTGGTGAACAGGAGCAACAGGAGAGGGGGTGTCCTGTGAGACCTCCAGGGAGGGAGAGCCCTGGCATTGATGTAGATCCCAAAATCCTTGAGGTTTTCTTTCTGTATTCATGATGGAGCCCATGCATCTGTACAAGAAAAAAAGAGGAGGGAACCAGCAGTTAGCGTAATGGCTATGTCGCTGGACTCCCACGTAGTCGACCGTGGTTCGCGTCCCGGACCCGATGGCTTAGAACTCACGTTGGGCGCGTGTGTGTGCATGCCCAAGATCCCGAGAGGAGAATGGAGAAGGGATTGCGGCGTGAC